GCTGCGAGAGGCTTCGACCGCACTTTTCACACAGTGATGCTGCTGCTTGGTGTTATTAGTTCTCGACTGCAGATGCTTCATGCTGAACCGACCCATGACCCACCACAGGTAACGGAGGAGCCTCCTCCACCTGTGCACCTGCTGCTGTTTAACTACCGTCTACAGCTTCTATTATATATACAACATTTGTGCTAGCCAAAGAAATATGATTCGTTGTTATGAATTTACTGTGTCCCCATTGGTCAGTGAGCACGAGGTTTTATTTAAAGGCTGAATATGTTATATTGATACCTGTGCTTCAACATTAGTCAGTAAACGTCTGGCGCCCTGCTGATAGTGTTGCTCACAGTGTGGAAGCAGCGTTAGCATGCAGGTGCAACATCACACAGCAGCCTAATTATCCCCTCTCCCAAAACAACGACACAAACAAAGAAAGAAAGACAGAAATTCCAAGCAGGTGTCCACGAAGAGGCTGAGATCCATGAAACACCCCTCCTCTTACCATTGTCCAGTAAGTAAAAGACTGGACTGCAGTGGCTGGCTCTCAGACTGGCCACAGGCTCGGGCAGGACGCGGGGGTCATTGTGAAGGGAGGTTGGGTAATGAACTGGAACAGGAGATCCAACAGAACAGACACAGACTTTTCAGGGCAACAGGGGAGAGACAAACACAGTGGGTGAACTGGGGAGAAGAGAAACTTGCAGGTAATAGGAAGGAAACAGTCGTGAGGTTATGAAAACAGAAGGTGTCATAAGAACAGCTGCATCCCACCAGCAGATACTGGGAAGGTCACATAGCCATCACTGCAACACACCACAGCAGCACTGCTACTACAGCTACGACTACTACAGCTACTTCTACCACACCACAGGCTCATCCTACAGAGCAGCATTTTCCAGGCTTTTCCAGGTAACTTTATCCTGGAGGCGGTTTACTTCCAACCATGACCTGTTGCCGTAGCAACTCATATTACAGCCCTAACCTGTGCTGCAGCAGGTTACGTTCAACAGCTATGACATCACCACCTGCTAACCAATCAGCTCCTCTGAGGATTGTCCACAGGCCCTGGAGGATGGCTCAAAGCTCTCTGTGAGCAGAAGTCTTTCCATAAATATGGATAATATAATATGTTCTGTTCTGCAGACTAACCTGCACCATCCTAACACAGCAGTTTAAATCCTGTTCTCATGTCTCATCTTCAGCTGAAAGAATAAGAGTTCAAACGTGCTTACAGCCATTAAATATTCATTGGATAGAATCATGATTCTCCCGTGTCTGACTGATTGAGCTGTAATATTGATAAGTCTGTTAGCTGTCTGTACCCAGCTATGCCTTATTAATAACATGGCAGCAGTCTTTCTGAGTAAAGCTCACACACACACACACTCAGCAGCTTTGATGCTAAGCTACTGCACACTCACAGGTCCCGTTACTCACTTTGAGGAGGTGCTTTCTTACAGCTGAGTATTGTGTATCTAACCACGTTTGACCCAACGCTCACGCTCTGCAGGACAGAAGGACCAGGAGAGACTGAGTTTTTAACCATCATTCATAAACTGACCTGATCGGATCCTTCGTTCGGTGACACTATTGTCACTCGTGAGTAACTTTACTGTTTTGTTACCCCGATGCTGACACTGTGGCTGAAGAAGCCTCTGACTGCAGAGACATGACTGACTGGTACCAGTGGGAACAGTGGACCTGTACAGCTGACAGAACTGCATCAGGGCAAGAAAGCTGATTTAAGTGACTTCAGACGTGGCAGCTTTTCACTGCACAACCATGTCATGGTCGTATGTCATTCACTTACGAAGGTCGGCCCCTCGGCGAGGTCAAAGGTCAGAGGTGAATGGCCAGACAGCTCTGAGCATGGTTTAAGCTCGAAGAAGACAAGCTGGGTCAGCAGGAGACCAGACTGGGTGCTAAGAACAGGAAACTGAGGCTACAACTCAGAGAGACCCACGAAAACTGGGCAACAGAAGATGGAAAATATTACCTGCTCAGAAACATTGAGAGGGTGGAGTTTATTATGACCACAGTGTACCATCCTGTGATGGATGCTTCCAGCAGGATAACACACCACCTCACAGATCTCAGCCCAGCTGAGCATCTTTGGCATGTTCACATCACGGACATGCAGCAGCCGTCTGAAGGCTTCCAGCACTTTGTGCAGTCTGAGCCAACCTGGTACCGCAAGGTAAATGGTCTGTATTTATATAGCGCTTTACACATCCAGTCATCATTCACACACTGGTGATGGCAGCTACATTGTAGCCACAGCCACCCTGGGGCGCACTGACAGAGGCGAGGCTGCCGGACACTGGCGCCACCGGGCCCTCTGACCACCACCAGTAGGCAACGGGTGAAGTGTCTTTCCCAAGGACACAACGACCGAGACTGTCCAAGCCGGGGCTCGAACCGGCAACCTTCCAATTACAAGGCGAACTCCCAACTCTTGAGCCACGATCGCCCCAGTACCTAATGAAGTGGCCATAGGTCCTGTGTTTGTATTAGTGTGCAGAGCAAAGCTGTTGGTTACCACGGTGCTGGAGGTGATGACATCACAGGGGTACGCCACACATTCAGACTATCGCTGGGCGGTGGCATCATAAAAATATCTACAGAAGATTTGAAGGAAATAAAGAAACGCTGCCATTCAGTTTATATGTTTGTAATAAAATAAGGTTTCTTTTTGTAGAACGATCTGCAGCTAAATTAACGTTCCTGATAGCGAGCTAATTTTTAATTTTGTGGCGGGTGTGAGGGAGCTGGGAAGCATCTGCCTCACTAAGGTGAAGAACACACTCTTGTTATGCTTTTATTTTGAAGTCCACTAACTGCTCCCACTTTTGAGGTCAGCTTCCTGAAGGCCCGATTCATGGATTGTACACATGATTAACACACGGCTAACGACGTTCACCTGCCTGTTTGTGGTTGTTAACCATCCACTGCTACAGCAGGCTTTGCTACATGTGTATTATTAGCTAAACACCATGGTTAGGATTTATGAAACTTCCTGGTTTAATGAAAAGGTTTTTAACACTGCTGAATCTTTCATTTTACTTTTAATTTATATTCTGATTTTAAAATAAAAACCACAAAACAAACAAAAACCTCCTGAGTGACCGTGCAGACGCGAGGAGCATTTCAAGGAAAGCATCAGGGATTTAAGCATGTGATGAATATAACTGTTTCTCTGCAGGTTAATTACATGGGTGCTTACATGGGTTTGTACATTACACAGACATGGCTGTAGAAAACCCTCCAGCAGGGTTTAGCTGAAAAATGTGGATTTAAGCTTCTTTTAAATGTGATCAAACCTCACCTTTCCCCTCAGGTGCTAAATATACCCCGTGGGCTCAGGCGACACACGTTTAGGTACAACCTGCGGTACCAGGTTGGCTCAGCGTGGACAAAGTGCTGGAAGCCTTCACACGGCTGCAGCGTGGGGGTCAGGCGCCGAGCACTCGCGTCTCGTCTTGTTAGTCCCCTTTTTGAGGTCAAGCCAGGCTGCAGCGACATGTACTGCTCCCAGAGGAAATCTAACACACGACCCGAACAACACACCTCAGGACATTAAAGAGAAGACAACGGGGAGGATGTGAAGGGAGACAGCTTTGAGGCCAGAGAGGGCCCAATTACTGTGCCTGATGACAAAAGAGAGACGGGAGGAAGGTCAGGAACAAGAGGGGAAAGCTGTGCTGAGAAGTGAGAGAGAAGCTCCTGTTATTGACACGGGGGGTGAATCGGGACGATGGCCGGCTGCCTTAATAAGCTGTCCACAGTCTGTTTATGGCATTGAACAGATACAGCACAACAGGTGTGCCGGGGACAGGCGGACAGCCTCTAATGGCCACGGAGCAGGCTGAAGATGATATTCAGCAGGAGAAAACAAAGCGTGAACTCTGCACCTGTCGGCACAGCGCGGCGAGCTTTGTCTGCGGGCGCAACTTTTAATACATTTCACATCTGCGCTGCATTAATATGAATGAGTCCAAACCTGATTTAACTGACATTTAAAGCCGTCCTGCTCTCAGCCATTGCTGACATTTCGTACAACTATGAACCTCAGCCCCCCTCCCCCCAGCGTTTAACCGTTAAAGCGAATCAGACACAATCATGCAGCGTCATGCCGCATCTGTCCACGTGCTTTTCATCCACCGCTCCGTAATTCTTCTCCTTTCCATCTCTTTAATTAACAAGCGACAGGCCTGTAATAGGACAGAATGACCGTGACCTCGTCCACATCACAATGCTGAGAGACTCCCCGCCACAGCAGCACAGAACAGCTCGTCCTGGATCTGTCACGCTGCTGTTATCCTCTCCTTGGGAGGCTCAAAGGCAAGGCTGCAGAGTCCACGTGAGAACAAACCGACAGTGTGTCCTGTGTGTGTTTACACAACAATCACAGGAAAACCATCGACGAGCAGACTGTGGACAGCTGAGCTAAATTACTGATGCATCCACAAAATGCATTTGGTGGGATTTTACGTTCGTGTTCGGTCTCCTGTGGACACGGATCTGTGCTTTAAGTTACACAAGCGGATTTTTAATAAAGCTGTCACTAAACAACGGCTGGCGTTTTCAGCATTTGGCTCCATCTACCTGTTTATGTTTCCCCGTCAGGCCCACGTGGATCCGGCCTGACACCAGACTACATACATATACTGAAGGATCAACGACAGGACAAGAGGAACGGTCTGTGCATTGCTGGTTGGAAGGCAGGGATCCGTTTTCCTGTGAATGACTTTGGTGAAGAATCAGAAAGCTTTGAGCTCCGAGGAAAAGACAAAGACATCAAACTGAGTATTTGCATGAATCGTTCGTGTGCACAATCAATGAAAAATGAACCCCAGCAATGAGATCTCACACAAAGATCGACTGTGGCTGCAGTTTTTCTGCCACACAGAGAAACAAACATGAATTAAACAACTACTGAAATGTTGTTTTGCAGGTTTAATCGAGTCTTTGCTGCTTCTGAAGATTAAAAACACAGTTCCATTATCCTCCTTTCTTTAAAAGCCACCAAAGCACAATCAGCCGTCGAGGCAAACTGAGGGATGATACGATGACACAAAGTGCTTCGGCGTCTGTTTCCTCTCCAGGTTTTATGCAGTAAGATTACCTGATGTGGTACCTGAGCTCCTATAGTTCTCCGTTTCCTATCCTCTGTTTTTATTTTCCCGTCTGTTACATGAGCGTAGGAAACACTGAATATGATTTGGTTGTTTTTTAACCTGAGGCCTTACAAACCCGACAGAGCCCCGAGGACGCGGCGTGCCAGCCTGGCAGGGACTTAAGCACAGATCTACACACTCGTTTGCTCAGGTGGCGTTTCCTCTGAGACACACAAACACCTGCTGGGAAATGTTCTCATCTCTTCTTCATCCATTACACGTTTCTGCCTCATTGTCTTCAGCTGCACTGATCTCATCCAGAGACCAGCTTTCAGATGTGCTTCTGTCACATTTCCAAAGTGTGATGCTGAAACTCGAGGCCAGTGACATCATGATGAGCATGAATGCAAACATGAATACGTTTAGGTTTTATCACACTATCATCTTGTAGGAAGCATGTGTCGAGCAGTCACATGA